GGGTCGCCCCCGGCTTCGGGGGTCCTGGATTCGGATGCCAAGATGCGGGACTGATTGGCTGGAACGTGGCAGAGACGGCTGAGGTCATCCCCCCCTCGCCGGCGTCTCCAGGGCCAGGCTTCCCGAGTTCGCGTAGGCGCTTCCCGCACCGCCCTGCAAAGCCCCCCGCTCCGTGGCGCCCCGACCCTCGCTGCTGCTCCTGGCACCCTCAACTTGAGGCTGGCTACTTCCCTTCTTTCTCCCATCCAGACGTCCCTGAAATTCCTTCGGTTGAGACAGCGCCTGGAAAATCTCCTCAGGGAGTCCCTGAGCTCGCTCAGCTGGTAAAGGGGGCTTCTTCGTGAACCGGTGCTTCGGGTTTTTAATCCTCGCTCGCTGGAGCGTCTATTGTTTGCCGAAGCGGCCGCCTTACTGCGGAGAAAGTGAATGCGAACTGGTGTGGGCCAAAGTCCTGCGGAGACAGACATCAGGACATCTGTGACTCACGCAAGCCTCAAGAAGTGTCTTTCTTCACGTTTGGCCTCACTCGCCTTCCTCGTCTGCGGGGAGGTAGGCCACTGGCAGAATTACTTACTGGTTTGCCTGGACTTCAAGTGTAGTTTAGGCATTAGGGGTAGGTGAAGGGGGGGCAGAACTGCCCAATGCTGCCTACTTACACGTGATCACGTCGTAGCTACACATTTATCGTTGCCAAAGTGTCTTAACCCTGCAATGAGTGCATTGTACAACTTTGGTTCCAGTATATGGTGTCCCCTAAATTAGCAACCTGCCTCCAGTGAATAAAACGAAACCCTTACTCTATTCTTTACTGCAGAAACTGCGCACACAACTTCTAGAACATGCAGCGCAGGTAAAACCAGTTCTGAATCCTTAATCTTACTGACTCCATTCCTTCCGAATGCTAGAAGTTATTCTATAGTAACGGTGGCAAATAGAAAGATATTAAATATGCAAAAACATGACACCAAATAAAGCACCTGAAAAATTACATTTTAACTATAAATTGGCAGTAAACCAAGTAAGAGTACAGTTATTGTAAAATTAAATGGTGCAATGCACCCAACTCAATATTTATATCAAAATACTGGTCATCTTAACTTGTAAACAAAAGGATTTTTTTTCCCCCTCAAACTTCCATATGAGAACTAAAAAATGTTTTCAAATGCCATCTGAACAGAATAGTAAAATCATTAGAATAGTCCTCCAAGTTTTCAGTTTAGTGGACAGACAAGATAAAGCTGATGAAAACATGAACATTTTGTCCCTTTTTGTAACTGCTATGTGTCAGAATATTTTTTTAAATACAGAAAATATTTGAACCTTTGCCAGCCATGGAATAGATCACAAGGCAGTCAGATCCAGTAGCATGTGATTAGTCGGGGAGAAAGAGAGACTATAGAGGAATATTTCTTTGTTTGGGTGACACAAAGATGAATGGTCTATTGTCTTTCTGTCTGAAAAGAAAATCCAACTCAACAGTGCCATCTCCTGGAAGAATGACCAAGTACACTTTTTGATTCAAATTTGGTGGAGTTACCTTCACTTTTTAATGAGTTGCTTTTAGTTATATGTTTATAGTATACTTTTCTTTCTTCAAATTGTATCAGCTGCTGAGAACATGGTACCCTACCTATGGCAATAAAAAATATTAGTGTTTCACTTTTGTCTATAGATACAGCATCAAATACAAAAATTGCATTATCAGTTTTTTATAAAATATTGAACATAAGATTTTACTTTAATTGTAGGACTAAAACATGTAAATTTATCTCATTACTAAGAGCTATACTTTTTTCCAAGCCTATAGCAGAAAGAGGAATATAAAGCAATTACACATCATGAAACTATTAAGAAAATGTTTCGTATTAAGACTTTTTTTATTTGAGAGATTTTTGCTATAGGGCATGTGCGCTGGCCATAAAGACAGAGAGATAGAAAGCGAGAAATCACCCCCTGGAGGGAAGGTCAGGCCGCAATCCCTTCTCCTCCATTCTCCTCTCTGGATCTTGGGCATGCACGTAAACACACACACACACACACACACACCTGGCGTGAGTTTAAGCCACCGGGTCCGGGACTCAAACCATGGTCGACTACATGGGAGTTCAGCGACATAGCCATTACGCTAACAGCTGGTCCCAAGATCTCTTCTTTGACATGAAATCTTGTTTAGTGATCTGCAGAAAATCAGTTCTACCTCTTTGAAGAATGACAATTATAGAAGTGTGAAATTTACTATTTTAGCAGTTTTAGCCTAAGATAAAACTACACTGCCTAGGCAGTGGAAGGGAAAACAAAGCTGAAGCTGAGAGGGAGAGGCTAAGAGGTATTCCTTAGTAATTGTTAAACTCTCCACCAGCAGTTGCTGTAATGGCTATGTCGTTGGACCCCCATGTAGTTGTCTTTGGTTAGAGTCCCAGACCCAGTGGCTTAAACTCATGCTGGGTGCATGTGCACGCATGCCCAAGATCCCGAGAAGAGAATGAAGAAGGGACTGCAGTGTGGCCATCCCCCCTAGTGGGTGATTTCTTGCTGTCTGTCTCTTTCTGGCAAGTGCATGCGCCCTATAGCAAAAACCTCTCCCCCAAAAAAGTTTTTACCTCCTCTCCTCTCTCCATGTAATGCATGATTCAGACACAACTCACCTCTCCCTAAAGCTGCATGTGCTTTGTCTATGTGTGCCTGAACCTACAGAATTAAAAGGGATATTATTCTCTGGATTGTCCAACTACCGTTGTTTCATAGAAGCATAGAACAGATGTAGTATATTCACAGCTCTGTGCCAATGCCTAATATTACTTGGTATAAAGTAGGTAGTTGTTTAATATAGTCATCAAATGAATGAACAGAAGTTGTGATAATATTTTTAATGTTATTTCCTATTAGGATTTAATAATCATGAGAAAAACTAACCTAGTGATCAACTTGTTATATTTAATAGAACAGACTTAAAATCACTAGAACAGGATCAGCTACGGTGGTACTACCACTTCGGTAGTGGTGGTGGTGGTGGTGGTATCACTATACTTGGGAGGCTGGAAGCCACATAGGGGACCCAGGTTTGGTCTCTGGACCAACCTGAACATGCCTGCAATCCTAGCGAACTGGGAGACTGGAGTAGGCAGATAAGGACATGGGGAGAGCCTATCCAAAATACTCTGTAGGAACCAGCAGATGGTGTACTGGTTACATCGCTGGACTCCCATGTAGACAGTGGCTTGAAACTCACACTGAACGCATGTGTTTACATGCCCCAAATCCCGAGAGAATGGAGACGGGATTGCAGTGCGGCCATCCCTCCTGTGGGGTGATGTCTTGTTTTCTGTCTCGCTGGCAAGCACACACGCCCTATATCAAGAATCTCTCTTTTAAAAAATTAAATAAACACCTCTCTAGGGGCCAGCAGGTGGTGTGGTGGTGAAAACACCGAATTCTCACATGGCCAACTGCATTCAAGTCCGGGGGCTTGAAATTCACTGGGTGCATGTCTGTGCATACCCAAAATCCCAGAAGAATGGAAAAAGAATTGCGGTGTAGCAGTACCCCCTGGGGGGTTATTTCTCACTTTCCCTGTCAGTCTCTTCAGCTAGCACACACTCCCTGTGGCAAAACCTAAAACTAAACAAAAAAATCTGTTTTCTTTCATAAAGGTGGGTGTAAAGGAAATAAATCACTAGAACAATCTGAAACACTGACGATATACTCTAGTTCTCTACTATCCTTGTGTGTGTGTACCTAGGGCCAAATCCCTTTCTTCCAAATATTCATAAACATAAATTGGCTTTTTTTTGTTGTTGGAACTACAGTATGAATTAAGCCTTATCAAATTTCTTTTAGCATCATAAAGTACAACTTCCGGGCTGCCCTGTAGCAGTGTTCAAAAGCTGTGCATTCACACACAGAGCTGACCAGTTTGAGTCCTGGTTCCAACAGCTTAAATATAGGCCAGGTACAGGTGTATGCATACCCAAAATCCTGATGGGAAGGAGAAATGGAGAAGAGATGGTAGTGTGACTACACCTCATAGGGGGGTGCTGATCTCCCCTTTCAGCATCCCCCCCCAAAGCACATGCATCCTCTGGCAATAAAAAAAAAAGTAAAGTCCTACTTCCTACATGTTAGGACAATACACAGAGCTACAGAAAGTAATTTTGAGGTCTTCATTAGTGAACTATAATCAATTCTGCATCATCCACATATAATTAGCCACACTGTGGATAATGCAAGATTTCCCTGTTAAGAGCTGGTGATTTGAAATGAGTTCAAGCCCAACTGCTTAGTTTTGTGTGTCCATGGGTAAATGGCCTTAGATTATTCACCTGTTAAGTAGTGATAATGATGCCTACTCCCTATGTTCATTTTTGAGGCTCAAACAGAACAATTTTTAAACTATCTTAGTCAATTATATGAAAGCAGTTCCAATGGGGAAAAGTCATAATACATTCTAAAGTCTAATGTAAGCTACTTCTGAATTTTATAATCCTCTTACTGGTATGGCAAAGACCGTAACTGATTACAAGTGAGACCAAGGTCATGAACTTAATTCAGATGTAGTCCCTAACTTCACAAAAAGGGAGCCAGCCAGTGGTGTGGTGGTTAAAGCACTGGATCCAACTGGATCCTACGTGGCCAACTTCCTTGTTGGAGTCCTCACCTAGGAACTGAGGAAATCACACCTGGGATTAGCAGGTGGTTAAGGCACTGTATTTCCACACAGCTGACTGTGGTTCAAGTCCTGGACCCAGCAGCCTGAAAATCATGCCAGGTACACGTGCCCAAAATCCTAAAAGGAGAATGGACTATGGAGTGGCTCCCCTTTTTCTCCCACTAACAAAGCAGTTCAACAAAAGGCTACATTACAAGAGAATAGTCTATTAAATATTTTAAAATTTTCTTTATTTCAGAACTGCCTTTATGTACAGACATCATAAAAAAAATGCACATACACTGGAGATTTTCCAAGAAATAGGAGCTGGAAATAAAATTTAAGGGCCATTAGGAGAACTGAAATTGTCCCAAAAGATATACTGAAGATCACTTTCTTAAATATCCTTGATAACCTCTTCAAGTTCTTCTTTTGTAAACATGTGGAAATTCTGGCCAGGCTGCACTGTGGCTAGCTGGAAAGAAAACAGATAAAGGTTAGTAAGCTGAGCTCAACTACCCTGCAATGGCCCTAGCATGGTCTGGAGAATCTGTGTTGGTGATGCAGCTGTTCTTTAGGAACTAAGGGATCTGCTGTCCCAGGAATATCCTTTCCAAGCAGCAGTTCCCTAAAATAGCTCTCTGACTCCAAAACAAAAATTCCTATTGACAAAATTTTCTATTTTAAGATTAACTCACCAGATTACAGTTAACCAAATGCCTGGCATCATTGCTGCTTCTTAAAAGTTACTTCAATAAAGATTACAAAAATAGTAGCAAAGGACAAGAAGTCTATTTTTTTTTTTTCCCCCTGGTAAGAGTTCCTTAGAAAAATACTGAAAATAAGGGGCTGGCAAGTAGCATGGTGATTGAGGCACTGGAACTCCCACACAGTCAACTGCAGTTCCAAGTCCTGGACCTGATGACTTGCTCTTAACTTTCCCTCGTTTTCTCTGGTCAAATTAAAAAAAAATAATAATAATATGTAAAAGTTAAGTATGATTCTTTTTTTATTTTTATTTTTGGAGAGTTTTTTCACTGTAGGGTGCGTGCACTCGCCAGACAGAGAGAGACATAGAAAGTGAGAAATCATCCTCCAGGGGGGATGGTCACTCTGCAATCCCTTCTCCTCCATTCTCCTCTCGGGATCTTGGGCACACACGCACACGCGCTCGGTGTGAGTTTTAAGCCACCGGGTCCAGGATGCGAACCATGGTCGACTATGTGGGAGTCCAGCGACATAGCCATTACGCTGACTGCTGGTTCCCAGTATATGATTCTTTTAAAAAATAAATATATTGAAAATATATTTGTACTCATATACTGACAAGTTCAAAGTTTAACTCTGTGTGTGTGACATTGGGTTACTTGGCCACTCTGCCTCTATTTCCTCATCTGTAAAATGGGAATAGAAGCAGCAACTAACTCAAAGAGTAGTTGTGAGGATTAAAAATGTTAATACATGTAACCCTTTTCCAGTTTATTGACTTCACATCTCTTTGTCCTCATTGAACAAGATATTGGGGCCAGCAGGTGGCATGGTGGTTAAGACACTGGACACTTCCACATGGCTGACCAGGGTTCAAGTCCTGAATCTGGTGGCTTACTTTCTCACTTCCTCTCTCTCTCACTCTCATCCTCTGTCTCTCTCTGGTCAAATTAAAAAATAAATGAATGAATAAATAAAATAAAATAAATTATTTTTAAAAAAAAAGATATTATACCCAAAGAAAACCAAAAAAGAGACAGCAAGACAGAAAGCGAGAAATCACCCCCTGGGGGGATGGCCTCGCCACAATCCCTTCTCCTCCATTCTCCTCTGGGATCTTGGGCACGCACACACCCACCCACTGTGAGTTTAAGCCACCAGGTCTAGGACTCAAACAATGGTCAGCTACATGGGAGTCCAACAACACAGCCATTATGCCAACTGCTGGTCCCCCAAGATTTGTTTTGGCTTTTAAAGACTAGTCATGAAAACATTCCATTAATACTACTGGGTCTTTGGTAAAGTCATGATGCATTTTTGCACAGAAAACAGAAAAATACAACATGCCTTTCTCGGTAACCTAATAAAACAGGATATCAGGTATGACTAAAGATACCAGTAATAACTAAAGATGTAAGTAATAACCACTAACCCAGATAACAATCTATTTAAGCAATAAGAAACTGGTGTTAAAAAGTGGTTACGTTTTGGGACCATCAGATGGCATAATGGTTCTGTTGCTGGACTCCCACGTAGTCAACCGCTATTTAAGTCCTGGACTCGGCGGCTTAAACCTCACAAACATATGTGCATATGTGTCCAAAAGTCCAGGAGGAGAATGGAGGAGAAGGGATTGTGATGTGGCCATTTCCCACCCAGGGGGTGGGGGGATAATTTTTCTCTTTATCTCTCTGTCTCTGTGGCAGGCATACACATCCCATAGCAAAAATCTCTCAAAAAAATAATTAGGAAAAAAAAAAGGTTAGTTTCAAATTTAACTAAAACTACCATGTTTTGCTTTTTGGCGGTGATGACCACCCAACAAGAACATGCCTCTCACAAAGGACCTCCTTCATCTCAACTGATCACATAGTCCATGTTTTTGGGCAATGCTGAGGAACAGGTGCCACCTCACATTGCCTCAAAAGCTTTTGTTCAATTTGTTTTACACATAATTTCCTCATATTGTCATTTAAATTTTTTTTACTTAAACATAATGGCACTTTTTTTTTTTTGGAGAGGTTTTTGCTATAGGGTGTGTGCGCTCGCCAGCCAGACAGAGAGAGACATAGAGACAGAAAGCGAGAAATCACTCCCCAGGGGGGATGGCCACGCTGCAATCCCTTCTCCTCCATTCTCCTCTCGGGATCTTGGGCACACATGCACATGCGCCCGGCGTGAGTTTAAGCCACCAGGTCCAGGACTCGAACCGCAGTCGACTATGTGGGAGTCCAACGACATAGCCATTATGCTAACTGCTGGTCTCAACATAATGGCACTTTTTAAATAGTCAATACTGATATTTAATTCAAAGGTTGCCAGACAAAATTAACATAGCCCAGTTATATGTTTATTATTTTCTGCCAATGTGTACGTAAAATTCAGAAAAAGACTACTGTATATCTTTTTTTTTCATTTTTCCAGTTTATTTTTAATTGCCAGAGAGTGGGTGCACTCACCAAAGAAAGACAGAAAAGGAGAGAGAAGTAAAAGGAGAAACCACCCTTTAATGGAGTGTGGTTATGCCACAATCCCTTCTCTTCCATCTCCATCCTGTTTATATTTTGGGCACAAATGCACATGCATCCAGTGTATTTTTTTCAAGTTGCTGGGTCAGGGTTTGAACCCCACAGTCAGTCATGGGGGGAGATCTGGCTTCCCCAATGATCATGCCACAGACCCAGCCACTGCTGCATGTCTTAAGACTTCTGATGATCTGGTTTGAGAACAGACTAAAAAAAGAAGGGTTCCTCTCTCAAAGGCTGCAGTTTGCTATAGCTTCTCCCAAATCATATACCAGTTTCATGAGATGTCAGAACAGTCCCAAATTTATTTACTAAAATAAAACATTTACTCATGTCTATATAGACTGTGGGTTCTACTGTTAGGATATTTAAAAATATAAATGTTGGAGCCAGTAGGTGGCATGGGTAAGGCAATGGACTCCCACATGGCTGCCTGTGGTTCAAGTCCCAGACATGACAGCTTGCTTTCCCACTTTTCTTTCTCTCTCTCTCTCTCTTTCTCTCTCTCTCTCGAGCATGAATGTTCTGGAGTAAATTGAAAAAATAGTAATAAACGCGCCCTATAGCAAAAAAAACTCTCAAAAAAAAAGTGTAAACAATTGTCCGTTAGATTCTATTGCTGAGTGCTATACCATACATCCATCCTATTTTTAACCTTTATTGCCAAGCGTCTTCCAAACAATCTATATTCATTTTTTTGCTGCCTTATGTCTCATTTATCCTTAATCACTAGTATTTGTTTTGGCTCTTTTTTCCATGAGACTGATCCTTGCCAAGATAACTTCTGTTTGTCAGATTTCATAGTCACTTTTTGGAACTATTATTTGACCTTTCTGAAGCATTCACCTCAAATTTGACAGTTCTAAAATTAAAATCATTGTCTTTCTTGAAAACCATTTCTTCTTTCCATATTTCTACACTGACTGATGACACCATCAGTGTACTTGTCATTCACACTAGAAACCTGGAAGACATTAACTTCCCTTTCCCCTCAATAGTGTGTGTCTTTATTCCCTTACTATAACTCATACCAAGGCCTCTTCTCCATTCCTACTTCCAGTGTTGTCTTTTGTTCAAGCCCTTTTTTCTCTTGCCCTGTGTTTTTAGAGGTCTCCTAACTGGTGTTCCTGCTTCCAGCCTTGCCCTCCTTTGTTTCAGTTTGTTTCCTCATTGTGCTTCTAGAGTAGATTTTTTCTTTTTTTTTTTTTGAAAGGTTTTTGCTACAGGGCGTGTGCGCTCTCCAGAAAGACAGAGACAGAGAGACAGAAAGCAAGAAATCACTCCCTAGGGGGGATGACCACACTGCAATCACTTCTCTTTCATTCTCCTCTTGGGATCTTGGGCATGCACATACACAGGCCCAGCATGAGTTTAAGCCACTAGGTCCGGGACTTGAACTGCAGTTCACCACATGGGAGTCCATTACACTTACCTGCTGGTCCCTCTAGAGTAGATTTTCTAATCCTCATTTAATCTTAATTGTTCCCCAATTTAAAAAGTCTTTTCTTGTACTGTCTATAAGATAAATTCCACACTTCTTTTCATGGCATATCTATTTAAGTCATATTTTTAATATGCGAAGCACTTCGTTAAGCATTTTACATGCAGTTGTTCCTTTTAATCTTCACAACAACTCTGTGAGATAGACATTCTTATTTCCATTTTATAGAGGAAGAAACTGGTGCCTTGAGAGTGTAGGAGTTTGCCCAAAATAACACAACTGGTAAATGGTAGTCAGGATTTGATGGCAGGTCTCATCTTAGGTCCTATACTTGTAGCTACTTGAATACATTGTTCCCTCCAAACTCTGAACCCTGGCTGCCACTATATTTCATCTCCTGCATCATGTGCAACCTCTGCCATAGCCATATGGAATTACTTTCAGTTTTTCAACTATATCGTTATTTCATGGTTCTGCGCCGTTTGCACATTTAGTCCGCCCTTCGCCTCCTTGACTGATCTGTCTTGCTATGCTTTAATGTACAATTCAAGGGTTGCTTCTCTGGAAGTCTTCCTGGAATCCCCAGATCACCCACTTTCTTTCTTATGCTTAGCTCTACTTAACTGATGTTAAAGCATTTGGCATCTAGGCCCTTAATGATTAAGACAGAGATTTTTTTATCTTTGGATCCCAGTCCCTAGTTTCAGATGTAACAAATACGTAGGTGCTTAGTAATTAATTATTGATGGAATAAATGAAAGGCAGTATCTCTTTACCTGTCTCATAGAGGCTTTTGAAAATAAAGTGATATAATAAATAGAAAAATATTTTTCATATTATGTAAATATATTTATCATTATGCAAATGTAAGGGATTATTTTTACTTCATCCTGAAGGCAGTAGTTGATTCAAATCCCATTAGTACATATTGATTGACATCCTGGTTCTAAAGGACTGTTTTATCTAGTGTACTAATTTCTGTTTTTTTTAAAGTTATTATTTATTTAATTTTATTTATTATTATTGTTTGTTATAGTACACATGCATTTACCAGAGACAGGCAAACACACATACACACAGAGAGAAGGAAAGTGAGAAAGCACGCTGCCAGTTCAGGGACTTGAACCATGGTTGGCCATGTGGGAGTCCAGTCAGTACCTTAACCACCATGCCACCTGCTAGCCCCCTAATTTCTGTTTTTTTAGCTCCCATAATGTTTTGGGAAGGCTAGCCTGTGAGCCATGAATGACCTGACAAAAAACATTCTGTAGGCCCTTTTCTCTAGTTTATTGACTTTTTATTTCTCAGGTATTAAACCTCAAATAAAGATATTATACCTTGGGGCCAGCAGGTGGTGTGGTGGATAAGGGCGCTGGATTCCCACATGGCCAACCATGGTTCAAGTCCTGGACCTGGTGGCTTTCTTTTTTTCTTTCTTTCTTTTTTTTTTTTGAGAGGTTTTCGCTATAGGGCGCGTGCGCTCGCCAGACAGACAGAGAGAGACAGAGACAGAAAGCAAGAAATCACCCCCCAGGGGGGATGGTCACGCCGCAATCCCTTCTCCTCCATTCTCCTCTCGGGCTCTTGGGCACGCACGCACACCCACCCGGCGTGAGTTTTAAGCTACCGGGTCCGGGACGTGAACCGCGGTCGCGGTCGACTACGTGGGAGTCCAGCGACATAGCCATTATGCTAACTGCTGGTTCCCACGGACAATTGATATATACACCACAGGTGCACCTCAAAATCATTATGCTAAGTGAAAGTTATGACTCCACTTAAATGAAATTCTAGAACACAAACAAATGCAGAGATAAAGAGTAGAATAATGAGAGGAGAAATATAAATGGGCAGGAGGGAACTTTTTGGGAGAATAGGAGTGTTCTGTATCTTTATTTTGAAGGTGAAAACATAAGTTTCACACTTGTCAAAACTCAATGAATTTTATACACTTAATAAGTTATACATACCTCAACAAAACTGATTTTTAAAAAAGACAGGTTAGACACTAGGTTGAGAGACATGTTAATAAAGTTTTTTTGTTTGTTTTCAAAAAAAGATGCAATTTGTATATTTTCCTTTTCTGAGGAGAAGCAGCTTGTAGAGAGACTAGAGATCCCAGCAACTGCTGGTAGAATAAGGATCTAGAGGAGATGGAGAAAGAAGGACTCTAAGGCAGGGGTCTCCCAAATGTCTGTCTTCAGAATTACCTGAGGAACTTTCAAAAGATAATTTTCTGGGCCACATTTCCCAAAGACCCTTATGGACAAACAGGTTGGAGGTCACAAGTTAAGAGGTGTAGTAGTTAGAACAAATGGAAGCACCTCTTCTTAACATGAAGAACACTATGGTCGGGAAGGTTTAATCATAGAAAACGGATGATCTGTCTTCAAGACAACACTGTGGTGGCAATGAAATGGAACAATCTGGAAAACTGTGCCCCAATGGAAGGGGCACTGTACACTGGTAAGTACATGCCCTCTGGCATTTAAAAATATATGTATTAAAAAAAAAAAGGGAATTTGTTTTATGATTCTAGCCTCAGCTAATACTTAAATGTATCCCAGTAATTCTTTTATCCATCCCTGTCTTCCTTTTCCTTATCCATAAAGACTTCTCCAAGTATTCTCCATTTTTCTTAATTTCACAGTTGCATTCATCCACCCTTAGCAGATGCCCTAACAATCACCCAGGAAATACTGAACATCTCTCAATTTCTGAGGGGTTGTCAAATGTTTATAGAAAAATATTATGAAAAAACTATGCATGGATTTCAATTTTTTAAATACCACTTTAATTTTTCGTCAAACTTTTTGAAGTCCCCTCATATTTCCAAATATAACCATCTTTACTAGACATTAGTTTATTTTCTTCTGTCTACTATTAACACTCTAGGTAAGGACATTCGGAATCGGGTCCAAGCTTCTCCAGTCTCATTTCCTGCCATTCCCCTATCTTACATACATCCCATATCCTAGCAGTCACACAAAAACCTCAGAGTTCTTTATGAACAAGGTTATTTTTCATCTTTAAACCTTTGCATGTGCTATTTCCTCTTCCTGGAATACTTTTCTGCTTCTTTCTCCAAACATCACCTCTTCTAAGAAGCTTTCCTATTGCCCTAGTCTAAATGATAAATCTTCATAGCAATTTCTTCTGTTATTATAGAAGTATCATTCCAAGATCTTAGTAGCTCCACTACACAGTATATTACTTGAACAGGAATTGGTTTTTTGCCTCTGTATTCCTGGTTTTTGGCTTAGTACTTGCTATATAATGGGTACTCATGACATTTAATGAATTTTATTTTTTGAAACCAACTCCTTCATTTATACTCTTGCTTCCATCTTCTAGAATTTCCCAATATCTAAACTTTCCTTTCACTTAACATTTTTCTATCCACTAGTTTCTACTCAAGTTTACAAAAGTATTTTCAAGTTCTTCCCTTAAAAACACAAAATTCCCTTTCTTTAATGCTGCCTTCTTCTGACAGTTCAAAACTTCTTGAGAAAACAGCAGTTCTCTTCTTCATCACCTCTCTTTCACTCTTTAACTCACTTTTTAAAGCTGGTTATTATTCAAGGCTATCAACAATGTCTTAATAACTAAATACATAAAAAATGTGACTTTCTTGATCTATTCAATCTTCAGGAATAGGAGCTATGCTCTCTGAATAAAAAGCAATAAACCAGAAAAATACCTCTATATTAGTTGCATTCAGCTTCTCCTCCATTACTTGTTTGAGAATGATGAGCGAAGACTTGATGGCTTCTTTCAATGTCATAGACTTGAAACAGAAAGAGTGAGAAGATAAGCCATTAATTGTACATAATCCCTCTTTCCTTCAAAGATTTCTCCTGTATCTCCCTGAAGAAATGATTCAGCAAATATTAACAAATCAAACACCTAGAGACCAGCAGATGGCGTAACAGTTATGTTGCTGGACTTCAAAGTAGTTGACCGTGGTTTGAGTCCTGGACCCAGCAGCTTGAAACACACCAGTGTGTGGATGTCCAAAATCCCAAGAGATTCTGAGTGGATAAGGGATTGCAGAGTGGCCATCTCCCGGGGCGGGGGGTAATTTCTCATTTTCCCTCTCTGTCTCTCCAGCAAGCATACACACTTTATAGCAAAAATCACTCATAAAAAAATTAATCAGGGGCCGACAGGTGGCGTGGTGGTTAAAGGCACTGGACTCCCACATGGCTGACCGTGGTTCAAGTCCTGAATCTGGTGGCTTGCTTTCTCACTTTCCCTCTCTCTCTCTGTCTGATCAAACTGGAAAGTAACAATACTAATAACTAAAGTTAAATAAAATAATTCTTAAAAAAAAAATCAAACATCTTAATTAGTATGTACAAGTATTTCCTAAGGTCTAGTAAATGATAAATTGAAATACACCTATATATAAGAGGAAAAAACCCTTACTATAAGTTAAAGGAAAGTCTCAACTTTTATATAGTCAATTATCTTTAAATGTACTTCCCTAGTGTACATTTGAATGCTTCTTTTAATCTAGAAGTAATATAATATTGGCAATAACCCTGAATAATAATGCCCAAATGATCTAAGAAGGTAGGCCAATGGTTTAGAAAACCTACTCTGGACTAGCCCATGCCATAGTGGTGAAGGTGGCTATGTCCCACACAACTAACTGCATAGTTCAAGTCCCAGACCTGGCAACTTAAGAAACAAGCTGGGGTGCACGTGCATGTGTGTCCCAAATCTCAAAAGGTGGGAGAGATGGAGAAAGAATTGTGATGTAGAGATTCTTCACAGTGGGATGCTTTCTTGCCTCCCCCCTCTTCCTTTCCAGCAAGCTTATGTACTCTCTGACAATTTTTTTTTTTCTTTTTCCTCTTTTTGCGTGCACTTGCCGAGGAGTGACAGAGAAAATGAGAGAGGGAAAAAGTGAGAATCACCCGCCAGGGGGATGGCCACATTGAAATCCCTTCTCCATTCTTCCGAGATTCTGAGCATACATGTATATACGTGCCTGGCATATCTCTCAAGCCACTAAGTTAAAGATTTGAACTGCAGTCGGCCAGTGGGAGTCCAGCACAACCACCATGCCACCTGCTGCCCCCCTCTGACAAAATTAAAAGGGGAGAAAATAAAATCCATTTTTGTTACCCCATTTTGTACCTAACTTCCTCCACATATAAAATCAGTACTTTTAGGAGTTGATGTGAGCAGTTTTCCGTATATGAACCACCAGAATATGCATGGCAGTCTTCAACCACAATGAGTTACCCAGAATTAAATCTTATCCCACAAAGAAAGTGCCGAATGTCCACTTGCTTTAAGAGCCAGATTAGGGGGGTCAGCAGGTGGTGAGGAAGTTAAGGCAATGGATCCCACATAATGGTTCAAGTCCTGGACCCAGCAGCTTAGAAATCACACTGGGCAGGTGTGTATGAGTGCCCAAAACCCCAAGAAGAGAACAGAAAAGCGATTATAGAGTAGCTATCCCCTTATTGGGGAGGAGGGTGATTTCTCATTTTCCCTCTCCCTCCCACTCTGTCACTGGACTCTGTTTCTCTCTGGTGAGCACGCACGCCCTATGGCAAACAAACAAACAAAAAGACTAGGAAGTATAAGCTAAGTAAAGCTATAAGGATAGAAGATAAATATATTGTGGTATATCCACACCATGGTATACTACTCAGCAATGAAAAGCAACTAATGGGCCAGCAAGTGATGCAGAGGTTAAGGCAGTATGGGCTGGATCCCACATGGTTGAGTGTGCAGTTCGAGTCCTAGACCTAGTGGCTTGAAAAAAACACCAGGCATGTGTGCATGCATGCCCAAAAATATGAGAGGAGAATGGAAGAGAAGGGACTGCAGCATGGTCATTCCCCCAGAGAGTGATTTCTCACTTTCCCTCTCTATCTTTGTCTCTCTACAACGGAAGCTAAAAAAGCAACTAACTATTGATAGGAAAACATCCATGGATCTCAAAAATAGCATACTGGACAAAATATGTATATATATAAACTTAATTTCATATGTAAGAATAGAGATGGCACCACAGCCTAGTGGCTAAGGGAGCCAGATCCCACATGGACACTACAGTTCAAATCCTGGCTCCAGTGGCTTGAAAATTATGCTGGGTGTATGTATACATGTGCCCCAAATCCCAACAGGATGAAGAAATGAAGAAAGGATTATGGTGTGGCCACACACCATTGGGGGGTTCTCTCTCTCTCTCTCTCTCTCTCTCTCTCTCTCTCTGGTGAGCACATAACCCCTGGCAATTAAAATTTTTAAAAAAGTACAAGAACAAAGCCAGCCAGTGGCAGAGTGATAAAGTAACAACCTGCTATGCTGGACCCATGTGGAAAGATCCCGAGTGTGCATCCTGAAGGCTCCCTGTACAAGTACACTGGATGATGTGCTGAGGCTGGGAATGGACCACTGTCTGAAGATATCTGTTGGAGATGCTGGTCTCTCTCTCATGGAAGTTATAAATAAATACAGTTTAAAAAAAAAAAGAAGTACAAGAGCAGATGGAACTAACATACACTGGTAAGCATGGCTGCAAGGGAAGGGAGGTGAAGAGAGTGACTGAAAAATGGGTAAACAATTTTAGGGGGCAACGGAAGTGTTCTATATCTTATTTTATGTTGGTTCCAAGAGTACATACAATTGTCAAAACTCATAGAACTGAACTCTTAAGGACTGTACATTTTACTATTTGTAAATTATACCTGGATTTCAAAAATAAAAGTTGCAAAAAACACTTAATTACCTTATGGTAAACTTCTTGCAAAGAACTCTGGGCACCCTCTGAAGCAGAGCCAATTGCTCGAGCATCACACTGTACGAAAGTCCCAGATGGGTCCATATGAAACCTATAAAACGCCCAAATGAAGAGAATTAAAATGCTTAGGAGTGATGGCATGTACAAATGTGAGGCCAGTAGGTGGGATTATGATTAGGTGCTGGATGTCCACATGGCCATCTCCACTGACTTGAGCCCCAGACCAGCAGGCTTGAAAATCACATAAGATGTGTGTGTGTGCCCAAAATCCCAAGAAAATAATGAAGGAGAAAGGATTACAGTGTGGCCATCCCTCCTGGGAGTAATTTCTCACTTTCCCTCTGTCTCTCTTTGGCAAGCACTCACCCTATGGCAAAAAACAAACTTAAAAGAAAAAAAAAGTATAAATGCTTGGCTTGGCTTTGCTATCAGAAAATACCACCATACCACTGAAATACTGAGACATTGGGACCAGCAGATGGTGTAATGGCTATGTCACTGGACTCCCATGTACTCAACCGCTATTTGAGTTCTGGACCTGGTGGCTTAAACTCACACCAGGCGCATGTCTAAAATCCCGAGAGGAGAATGGAAGAGAAGGGATTGCAGCGTGGCCATCCCCCTGGGGGGTGATTTCTCACTTTCTGTCTCTCTGTCTCTCTCTGGCAAGTGCATGGGCCCTATAGCAAAAAAGAACAAAAACAAAACAAAACAAACAAACAAACAAAAAAAAACAAAATAAAAAACACCCCAAAAACCTCTCTAAAAGAAATACTGAGACATAGATCCAAAAGATGTTCTATGTCTAAAGAAATCAGGCGTTCTAAAAAGAGCTTAAGAAAATTAGTAACTTTCTCAAGGTTTTAGAAGTATAATATATATTAATATGGCACCTATATATGTCCATCTAAATAACATTTGAGGATGAAGATCAGATCAACATTCCAAAGCAAAGTTCTAAAACATATCCTGGACCCTGACTATACTAACAAAGTTTCTGCTAATTCTTTCCATCATTAGCACCAGTTCTAGTAGGATAATTCTTCATGGAATCTTCAAATTTGTATGAACAGCACAGATTCACTATACTTAATAGTCAGAACTTTTCTTTTTTTTTTTTTTTCAACTTAGAATCTTCTTACTTTATTTAAACTACTAGTCCCCACCCTAAATTAACCCCCCTACCCCCCCACCCACACACAAAAAGAGGCAGGGAAAAAAATCAGCAAAATGGTACTTACAGCTGGGGTCCTTTCTCATCAACGCCTCCAAATAACAGTGCTACTCCAAAGGGACGAGACTAAAACCAAAAGCCAGAAATAGTGGAGTAAGTGGCTATTAAGTAAAGAGGGTGGTGGTGAAAAGGACTAGAAAGTATCTTCGTAGAACAAATGTCTAAGTCCCCTAAGATGGTAGTAATCACTCACCATGGCACCTGGATCTGCATCTTCTTCTCCAAACTGTAGAGCCAGGTTGGACACAGCCTGGGTCACATTCTCCACTGTCATTGTCTCATTGTAGGTGAACCAATGGTTCTGGAAGAAGAGCAAAGCATAGTATACCATTCTAATGAGAAGGTCCCACAACCTCACCACACACATCCCTTTGAATTGTGGTTGGAAACTAAAGGCTCAAGTGTGTTTTTCTTAACCATGAACAGAAGTACCTGGGACTGCATAAGAGGAAGAGAAATAGATCTGGAAATAAACATACCAAAAGGACTATAAGCCTTGACAGACTAGAGGATTACTCCTTTGAAAAACAGGGTTAACCCCTCAAAGCACTGAATGTAGAATTTTTAAAAAATGAGTGCTGGGGGAACCAGCAGTTAGCATAATGGCTATGTCGCTGGACTCCCATGTAGTCGACCGCAGTTTGGATCCCGGACCCGGTGGCTTAAAACTCACACCGGGCACGTGTGCGTGCGTGCCCAAGAGCCCGAGAGGAGAATGGAGAAGGGACTGCGGCATGGCCATCCCCCCGGGGGATGATTTCTCGCTTTCTGTCTCTATGTCTCTCTCTGTCTGTGTGGCGAGCGCACGCGCCCTATGGCGAAAATCTCTCCAAAAAAAAAAATGAGTGCTGGTACTCAGGAGCCACTTACTCTCAGAGATCATATCCTATTCTATTGGTGTTTAATGACTAATGTTTACATAAGCACTGACAGCAAACTTGCAAATAAGTACATTTTTTACCATATTTTCTCACTAGCCTATTCTCCATGCAGCAGGTGCTCAGATAAAAATAAAATAAAATAAGCATTCCTTATCAGTATTTAGTTATAAGTCATTACTCAATGAAGAAGCACTGTTATTTGTATGTCTGGCAGTAAAAGCAGCAGTGGTGGGGGATATCATTTAAACTAGGATCACCTCTTGCAGGATGCTCCCACAGAATGTCAATTAGGGAACAGAATACAGTGCAATGTTAGGCAAATCCAAAAAAATTTAAAAAGACTGTCAGCACTATTGATGAGAATTTCCTTAAAAGCTGGAATGGTGGGACCAGCAGATGGCGCAATCGTTATGTTGCTGGATTCCCACAAGGCCAACCATGGTTTGGGTCTGAGACCTGGAGAGTTGAAACTCACGCTGGGCACCTATGTGTGTGCCCAAAATCCCAAAAGGAGAGTAGAAGCGAAGGGATTGCAGCATGCCCATCCCACCAGTTGGTGATTTCTCACTTTCTGTCTGTCTCTCTGGCAAGCGTATGCACTGCATAGCAAAAATCTCTCTTAAAAAAGAGAAAAAGGCTGGAATGGCTGGATGGCTAAATTCAAGTGTCAGAAAGTTATAACTGGAGATTCTATTCAGAATTGTTCAGAAGAGTCATTTAATGTTAACACAGACACTTGCAATATAGCTCAGGCAGCTTGACATTACTCAACAGGGAACTCAAGCATCATGGTAAAAATGTTACCTGAGTCTCCACTCTGGCTTTATCAATTAAAGTCTTAGCATCAGCAATTAGCCCACTCATGGCACAACCTGAAATGTAAAAACAACAGTGACCCAGTGGCCAAATCCTCATCAAACCCGGTCATCCACTCAGGAAAATACTGAAATTCTAGAGTGGAACCATGGCAGCCATTCAGCAACCCCACTGTACACATTGGATAGGAAATTCTCTGCACAGAACCCATGTATAATGATGTTATAAACAAAAATTATCCATGGTGACCCAGAAGTGCAGATAATTAGAAGACAGAGAAGAACAGCTAACCAGACATGAATTTCCTTGTATTACACCCTAAGTACCCCTTTAGCACTCTGTAGTCCCATTATGCACTTCTGAACTAAGCAAACACTAATGCCCCAATCTAGGAAATAAAAGAAAACCATCTCACTACAGGTTACAGTGGAAGACCCTAGAATAAAACCAGGAACTTTTCACTTACACATACCATATTGGGTTGTTGGGAAAGTCATGATGCATTTTCCCAACGACATGATACAGAGTCTGCCTGATGACTATGTCAAGATCGTGGCTATAACTATTACTCTAAATGCCATAACTCAAACCTAAATCTCCAGCCCAATTTTCTCTCCCAAGTTTCAGACCCATAAGCCAAGTAACTCTTTGAGTATATGTACTTGGATGTACTATACACTCAGCTCAACTCATTTCATTTCCATTCTAGATCCTATCTTCTTCCTTGGCCTCACAATCAATCAGATCTGTCAATCTTGTCCCTTCCTTTCCATTATTTGGCCACTGTCATAGTTAAAGCCCTAATCATGTATGGACTACAAAATTTTTTTCTTATATAGTCTCTCTGCCTCCAGTCTCCAGCTTCCTTTAGTTTAACACTGTTGGGACCAGCAGTTAGCATAATGGCTATGTCGCTGGACTCCCATGTAGTCGACCACAGTTCGCGTCCTGGACCTGGTGGCTTAAAACTCATGACGGGCGCATGTGCGTGCGTGCCCAAGATCCCAAGAGGAGAATGGAGGAGAAGGGATTGTGGCGTGGCCATCCCCCCTGGGGGGGTGATTTCTTGCTTTCTGTCTCTCTGTCTGGCGAGCGCGCGTGCCCTATAGCAAAAACCTCTAAAAAAAAAATTTTAACACTGTTATCCTCAGAACAATCTTCCTCAATTCTAATGAGAACATACTGGGTCATCAGAAGTCATGAAGTGTTTTTCTATGCTAAAATGCATCATGGCTTTTCCAAAGACCCAATAGTTCTTTTGCTCCTGAAAGATAAGATTATGCTTATTCTTCTCTGTTCCCCTGGTGTCTTGCATGATCTCTCGCATATTACAGGTTCTCGATTTGCTGGATGAAGTGACAATGACCTACTTCCGAAGAACTAATGACTTGAGATAAAGCAGACACAATGTTCTAATTTTTTTCTTTTAGTATTTTCTTTTAACAACAATTTTTTTTAAACTTTTTCCACAAGAGAGACACGCACCTCTAACAGGGTCTTCATACCGTGATCCACCTCTAATCTCAGCCAGTTTGGATTATGGGCACACACATTTTTCAGGGAGGGCCTAGGACATGAACCCAGGCATTTCCCACGTGGATCCAGTTTTATTACTGCTGTACCTGGCCCCACAATGTTCTAATCTTAAAAATTAAATTTCAGGGACCAGCAGTTAGTGTAATGGCTATGTCGCTGGACTCCCATGTAGTCGACTGCGGTTCGAGTCCAGGACCCAGTAGCTTAAACTCACACCGGGCGTACATGTGCGTGCATGCCCAAAATCCTGAGAGGAGAATGGAGGAGAAGGGATTGCAGCGTGGCCATCCCCCCTGGGAGGTGATTTCTCGCTTTCTATCTCTCTGTGCCTTTTTGGCGAGTGCACATGCCCTACAGCAAAAACCTCTCCAAAAAAAAAAAAAAAAAAGATTAAATTTCAGTTTCTATGTCTACAAAAGAGATAATATCAAGCTCTCAAGAGTTGCCATGGCATTTGGTTCTGATGCTTTCAAACAACTAATTTTTACCAATGTTACACTGATTAAATGACTTGACAGGTTAGGAAAATTTTGGTAGTCAACAATAAGAACTGAGGTATAAATTAGTATAACTAGTCACCCTATAATGCTTCAATGTTAGAAGCCAGGGCAAGGGATTTATAATAAAGACTAGAAAACAGGGTAGGAGTGGGGAACAAAGAATAAAAACATAAACCTGAAAACAGAAGAAGACTGATCTAATCAATGTCTATTTTCTTACATTTCTGAATTGTTTTAAAGAATTATTTTATTGGGACCAGCAGTTAGCATAATGGCTATGCCACTGGACTCCCATGTAGCCAACCAAGGTTCGAGTCCCGGACCCAGTGGCTTAAACTTACGCTGGGCGCGTGTGTGTGCGTGCCCAAGATCCCGAGAGGAGAATGGAGGAGAAGGGATTGCGGCGTGGCCATCCCCCGCCCCGGGGGGGATGTGATTTCTCGCTTTCTATCTCTCTGTCTCTCTCTGTCTTTCTGGCGAGCACACGCGCCCTATAGCAAAAACCTCTCCAAAAAAAAAGAATTATTTTATTTAACTTTATTTATTTATTCATCTATTTCAGTTTGACCAGAAAGGGACAGAATAAGTGAGAGAAAGAGCAAGAGCAAATGGGAGAGAGAAAAGTTAGAAAGCAACTACCAAGTCCAGGATTTGAACTATGGTCAGCCATGTGGGAGTTCAACACCCTTAACAACCACGCCACCTGCCAGGCCCACAATTCTGAATCTTAGTAACCCCAAAGACTTTGAGAGCTCCTTTCTTCTCAGCAGAGACCTTCATTTCTCACCCATGAGCCTCTGCTCCTGGTATCCTCCTACCATGGCCAACATAATATGATAAGACCTGGCCTAACTCAGCCTTTACATATTTTAGCAACCCTCACATGTCCGAAGTCTAAATTTGAGGAAGAAACGAACTTCACATAGATTAAAAATAAATGAGTACTGCAACTGCTTCCTGCTCCTACAGTTATGCATACTGACAGTGGCCTACTGCCTGGAATGACCAGGTAAGGTGTTCATCTCAGGAACTTTCCTTGCCCAAAAAACTAATTAACTCAGGCCATATCCTACAACAGCTTCCCCTTGCTTCTTACCTATGTGAGCATCAATCTCTACAATTTTCTCAATGCTGCTGGGTTCCATGAGTGGGGAGGTAATTCTCTTCTCCACAGCTAGGCACACACCCTCTGAGGTCTGGATCCCAATGGCTGTAGAACCAAGCTAAAGAGAAACAGGTTTCAGTTACCACAGACAGGTCCAAGAGCAGTCTCACATACCTACCAGTAATCTCTACACATCTTCACAAGATAGAAGCTTCAATCTGGTATGCAGAGAGAACAAGGAGCACCCTAATAAATAATATACTGTTCCTTTCAATAGCAACATCATATTTACAGAAGTTTGTGCTTCCAAAGAGAAAGTTCAGTAAGGTGTGGAAAACGTTTGAAAAATGGTCCACTCCAATGCACATATTTCAGGAAACAGATTCCAAAGTTCTAATATAGTAAACAAGAAAGAATAAACCCACAATTTTAATCTGGATCTGATCTCTTTTCACTTCTGCTATCTATCTTGGTCTGTTGCCCCAAGAACATTCCGCAAACCTACATGATCTCCATAAAAGTAATTAGGGGGGAAAAAAAAGCAGGCAGAAAGAAGGAGAAAGAAAAAAAAGGGGGGGAAAGAAAAAAAAGGGGGAAAAAGAAAAAGCTAATACCACCAAGGTAAAAATGGTAATATAATCTTTCAAGGTCACTAGAAGTCTACAATATAGCTTAAACTAATCTCTCTAGCTCCATGCCACCATCCTAGTCATCTACCTCTCTAACTCGGTTCCCTTATCTGTAAAACAAGGATATTAAAAATAACCAGAAAAAGAAAAAGAAAAGAAGAGAAAAAAAGGGACCAGCAGTTGGCGTAATGGCTATGTCGCTGGACTCCCACATAGTCGACCGCAGTTCACGTCCCAGACCCGGTGGCTTAAAACTCACGCCGGGCATGTGTGCACCCAAGATCCCGAGAGGAGAATGGAGGAAAAGGGATTGCGGCATGGCCATCCACCTTGAGGGGTGATTTCTCGCTTTCTATCTCTCTGTCTCTATCTTACTGGCGAGTGCACCCGCCCTATAGCAAAAACCTCTCCAAAAAAAGAAAAAAAAAAGAATAAAAAAATAACCAGAAGAGGGACCAGCAGTTAGCGTAATGGCTATGTCGCTGGACTCCCATGTAGCCAACCATGGTTCGAGTCCTGGACCTGGTGGCTTAAACTCATGCTGGGCGCATGTGCGTGCATGCCCAAGATCCCGAGAGAATGGAGAAGGGATTGCAGTGTGGCCATCTGCCCCGGGGGGTGATTTCTCACTGTTTCTCTGTCTCTATCTGTTTGGCGAGTGCACGCTTTCTCTGTCTCTATCTGTTTGGCGAGTGCACGCACCCCATAGCAAAAACCTCTCCAAAAAAAAGAAAAAAAAAAAACAGACAAGGGACCAACAGATAGTGTAACGGCTACGTTGCTAGACTCCCATGTAGTTGACTACGATTTGAGTCTTAGACCCAGTGGCTTAAACTCACACCAGGCGCGTGTGCGTGTGTGCCTAAGATCCCAAGAGAATGGAGAAGGGATTGCAGCTTAGCCATCCTTGGCCATCCCCCCAGGGAGTGATTTATCACTTTCAGTCTGTCTCTGTCTGTCTTTCTGGCAAGCGCACACACCCTATAGCAAAAACCTCTTAAAAAAAAACCAAAAACAAACAAACAAACAAAAAAAACACACAAACACCAAATCGAAACAGAAGAGGGCCAGAAGGTGGTGTGGTGGTTAAAGTCAATGAACTCCCATATGGCTCACCACAGTTTGAGTTCTGAGCCTGGCAGCTTGCTTTCTCACTCTCTCTCTCTCTGGTCACGTTAGAATAAATAAATAAATAAATAAAGTTAAATAAAATAATTCTTTTAAAAAAGAGAGGAAAAAAATAACCAGAAGATCAGATTTCAAAGATGTACAACACAAAGTAATGATAAACACTGGAGATGGTAGATACATTTATTGCCCTGATTTAATCATTACATTCTGAATGTACCCCACAAAGATATGCCACTAAGTAAATGAGCAATTACAATAAAAATTACTATTAAAAATAATGACAATACGTACATCAAGAAGAGTAAACACAGGAAAATAAAATCCTTAAAATGGTGCCTACTACATAATAGTGAACAAATGTTATTTATTACATGCCAAGATGACCTCAATAGCTTCCTTAGTCTCACAATCTTTAACTTCTCTCTCCCAATATATCCTTCATGTTATAGCTTTCTCCCAAATAACATCTCCCTATAATGCCTATAATATAAAATCCAAATAAGCTTCTAGAGCCCTCATAAGCTGATGCCACTTTTCCCCTCCAACTTTATTACACATTGTTCCCCAAACAAAATCCCTCTGGTACAGCCCAACCCATTTCCTCAAACCACACTGTCCCTTCCATGCGGTCTCCCCTAGAATAGACTCTTCCTTCTGTGTATCTAAATTCTACCCACCATTCAAAGTCTTCCACAACTGTGCTCTCCCTTCTGAATTCCCATTATATTTGATGAGTTCTACAAATCAATGACTACCACATATAAGTTATCACAGTGAAGCCTGATATTACAAAGGGTTCCAATGAATTCCATGAATTATTATGCATAGTATGCTTAACATGTCTGCAGACTGAATGATTATGTCTCACACACATATATATTACTTTTCAAAAGTGTAAAGTTATGACTTTAAAGTGGTATTAAAATGCATACCAGCTTTTGAACATGCATTTTTTTTCATTTTTATCTTTTTTTAAAGAACTATTTTATTTAACTTTATTTATTTATTTATTCATTTACTTATTTTAATCTGACCAGAGAGAGACAGAGCAAGAAATAGAGAGAAAGTGAGAAAGCAAGCTTCCAGGTCCAGAACCATGGTTGGCCATGTGGGAGTCCAGCCCCCTTATGATGTATTTTCTTAATCAATGAACATATGCATAATTATAGAAAATGAACTGTCAAAAATTTTCTGATGTAAAAAAATGAGTGCTCATAATTTCTTTTTTAAAGACAGATTTTGCTATAGGGTGCATGTGATCACTAGAGAGAGACAGAGAGACAGAAAACAAGAAATCACCCCCCCTAGAGAGATGGCCATGCCACAATCCCTTCTCTTCCAGTCTCCTCTTGGGATTTTGGGCACAAATGCACACATGCCAGGCATGAACTTACGCAGCCAACTCCAGGACTCAATCTGTGGTCTACTATGTGGAAGTCCACCAACCTAACCACTATGCCATCTGCTGGTTCTGAATGCTCATACTTCTAATTAAAGGTACAGACCCAACACACACATTACTTCCATTCTTTCAAGTCTATTAATACAAGATTAAAGGGCATAAAAATATAAAAAGCTTAAATCTACCAGGACAAAGAAAATGACAGAAAACACAGAAAGAAGATTTTGAGGCTAGGATGATGTGTTAGTGAGAATTTACTAAGCGATTATCCTAAACTAACAATAAAGTCAAGGACAAACTTGATTTTCCTTTAAAGGAAATGGTGGCAACAAGAACCTCTAAAAATGGAAATGAAGGAGATAAAAATGGCAAGAGTCCAATCTGCTACAAAACAGATTCCCAAATCCATGTTCCATGCTGAAAAGCTAGATGATTGTCCCCTGCCACCACTTCTGTAGACGACCTTAGGCTTATTCACAGGAAAGGATAAAACAGTGTCTTTGGATTGGTGAAGCATAACCAAAGATAGGCATACTATGTTCTAAACCAGCGTGTGAGTGTTGGGAGTTGCAGCAGAAATCTCTCCACCAAAATTTAAAGTGCATGGGACCAGCAGTTGGCATAATGGCTGTGTTGCTGGACTCCCATGTAGTCGACTGCAGTTCAAGTTCCGAATCCAGTGACTTAAACTCATGCTGGGTACATGTGCATGTATGCCCAAGATCCTGAGAGGAGAATGGAGGAGAAAGGATTGTAGCATGGCCATCCCCACCCCCCAGGGCAGGGGTGATTTCTCGCTTTCTCTCTCTCTGTCTCTCTAGTGAGTGCACTCTAGCAAAAACCTCTCAAAAAAAAGCAGAAGATCAGATTTCAAAGATGTACAACACAAAGTAATGATAAACACTGGAGATGGTAGATACATTTATTGCCCTGATTTAATCATTACATTCTGAATGTACCCCACAAAGATATGCCACTAAGTAAATGAGCAATTACAATAAAAATTACTATTAAAAATAATGACAATACGTACATCAAGAAGAGTAAACACAGGAAAATAAAATCCTTAAAATGGTGCCTACTACATAATAGTGAACAAATGTTATTTATTACATGCCAAGATGACCTCAATAGCTTCCTTAGTCTCACAATCTTTAACTTCTCTCTCCCAATATATCCTTCATGTTATAGCTTTCTCCCAAATAACATCTCCCTATAATGCCTATAATATAAAATCCAAATAAGCTTCTAGAGCCCTCATAAGCTGATGCCACTTTTCCCCTCCAACTTTATTACACATTGTTCCCCAAACAAAATCCCTCTGGTACAGCCCAACCCATTTCCTCAAACCACACTGTCCCTTCCATGCGGTCTCCCCTAGAATAGACTCTTCCTTCTGTGTATCTAAATTCTACCCACCATTCAAAGTCTTCCACAACTGTGCTCTCCCTTCTGAATTCCCATTATATTTGATGAGTTCTACAAATCAATGACTACCACATATAAGTTATCACAGTGAAGCCTGATATTACAAAGGGTTCCAATGAATTCCATGAATTATTATGCATAGTATGCTTAACATGTCTGCAGACTGAATGATTATGTCTCACACACATATATATTACTTTTCAAAAGTGTAAAGTTATGACTTTAAAGTGGTATTAAAATGCATACCAGCTTTTGAACATGCATTTTTTTTCATTTTTATCTTTTTTTAAAGAACTATTTTATTTAACTTTATTTATTTATTTATTCATTTACTTATTTTAATCTGACCAGAGAGAGACAGAGCAAGAAATAGAGAGAAAGTGAGAAAGCAAGCTTCCAGGTCCAGAACCATGGTTGGCCATGTGGGAGTCCAGCCCCCTTATGATGTATTTTCTTAATCAATGAACATATGCATAATTATAGAAAATGAACTGTCAAAAATTTTCTGATGTAAAAAAATGAGTGCTC